TGAAACTTGTTTGGAGAAGCAGCAAGAAATTCTTCCTTTAAGAAAAGTGTTTTTAAAAGTGAATAATTTGTGCATGTTCAAAGGTAAATAAAGTGAATTTCTTTATCTGCTTTCAGATTGTCATTGTGTGATCTTGCTGGCTCAGAAAGATGTACCAAGACCCGTAATGAAGGTGATAGATTGAAAGAGAGTGGAAATATAAACACCTCTCTCCTGATTCTAGGCAAGTGTATTAATGCACTCAAGAACTGTCAACAGTCAAAGTAAGTCCTTTTATGAATTCCAAATTAGTTGTGGATTTTAAATATTGCCTACAACATTTAAAAGCTATTATTTAAAATTGACAGTACTCACACTAAGGTTTTGGTAGAATAGATATATAGACTTGAAAAGTCTATAGTGTAAAGTCATGTTGATCTAGCAAAGTTATTGTTAAAATTGCCTTGTTTTGCTCCTTATATCATTCAAACTCTGACATCCTTTAGACATGCTATCATGGATTTTATCATATAACTTGCTTCTGAGCTTGGCTTATCAACTTACTCTTATCTTGGAAAAGAGCTTTTTAATCTTCTGTTATAGTAAGAGTAAAATTTTCAGCCTTTTATTACTCCTTTCAGCTAACTCAATTTTCTATGTACTTCTACCGGCAGCTGCCTAGAAGCTGTTAATGTATTCAGAATATGGTTTTCTGATGTTAACTTTGAATTTTAACAATATAGAAGAAATATTCTAAAGCATGATCTCTTAAATTGTTAATACATGCCCCTTGCAAGTTGGATTGGAAGCAGGAACTTTCTTAAAAGGATTCTTCTCTCAGTCCTCCAGTAAAGCTACTTATGAGCTGTATATGCATTCTGGCAGGAGTGTCACTATCTTGAGTTTTACAGTACTATTCATATAACTGAATAGCTGTCATATGTCCAAAATACAGGCAACCTTTTCAGTGGGAAGTGTGTCTTTAGTCATGTTTTAGGAATTCTCATAAAAATTCTTACCATTTGGAAATGCTAAACTGCTGGGGGATTCGGAAAAGTTCTGAAAAGTATCTCCATCTGTTTGATGTATACTTGTTCTCTTCCAATTGTCCATTTTCAGAGGGAGGATACTGAGTGAGAGGTCTCTGGTAGTGTTGGATACTGCATGCCTAGAACTAAATATGTGCTTTCCATGAATGTGGAAAGGAAAAGAGGTGGGATACAGCTTGATGTAGCATGACGCCATGAGACCTACCTTAGGTTATGTGTTGAACATGCTTTTGGTTTAAGTGTTCCCACCAATTGTATTGCTGTAGCTGATCCGAGACAATGGCTGAAGCAGCAGTTCACATTAGCCATGCAATCTTTTCACGAATAGCTATATCCAGTCTAAACCAACTTTAATTGATCTAGAGACTACTTTTATAAATATTTAAGTGTTTGGGTTGCACTGTGTAGCTCTTACACTAACTGGAAATTATTAACCTTCTGGTCATCTGTTCTTTTGTCTTTAAAGGTTGCAGCAACACATACCCTTTCGGGAAAGTAAGCTAACGCACTATTTCCAAGGATTCTTCAGTGGAAAGGGGAAGATATATATGATAGTAAACATAAGCCAATGTGCCTCAGCGTATGATGAAACACTTAATGTGCTAAAGTTCTCAGCCATTGCACAAAAAGTAAGTGTGTTGTAGTTCATCTTGTAATCAGTACTTCTGATTTGCATTTAAAGGGCAGGCGTTCTCACTTGTAAGAATAACCTTAGTTACTGGATTTTTGTCTTGTTGCAATCATATTTACTCCTAGTCAGGCTTTAATACTTTGCTGAAAATCCGTAATTACCATAAAATGTTCAGCCTAACAAGAGACTTGCTATATTTGGAAGAAATTCCCTGAGATTCAGGTAAACTTTTTCTGGGGTCATGACATGCCCTCACCTAGGAGCAATTCTAGCTCACCATGCACTACTGCCATTTTAATTTGGAATATTGCTCACCTGAAATATTGACAAAATAGGCTGAGCACCAGAGTTTGAAAGGTCATCTTTATGTCCATAGAGGCTTCAGTGGGATGCTGGAGGAGGTCCACGCCTTTGGAATGTGGGCTCATCTGAGCAGGTTAAGTACAACAGCAGAAGGAGCAGAGACTGTAGGGGTGATACAGCTATTTAAAAAGTAGAATTTGTAGGATGACATTTATGTAATGCAACTAGAAAATCAAAGTATAGGAAAAATAGAAACATGTTGATGTGTGAAGTGGTAATCCTCTTGTAGGTTGTTCAGCTAGTGAAACTTGGTGTTCCTGGGATCAAAAGAAAGGTTAGATTATAAAGTGACTCTTTGGTACCCTAGCTGGGAACTGGTCTAAGTAGGGACTCTGAAGTAGTCTCAGAAGACTACAGGGAAGTGCCAACAGCTGTTTCTTGGAAGTGCCAGTAGAAGTTTAAAAAATACTGGTGGCTTTGCTCTTTATTTTCTGGGTAGGTCTTTGTTATGGATGGATCTGTTCTTCCCCAAGTTCAGTCATTTGGCCAGAAGTCATCGCTACTTGACACAAAAATGCCAATCCCAAGGAAAAGAACTACTATCCTATGGGACAGGAGCTTAGAAGATGTGATTGAAGATGATGATGATGAGGAACAGCATGTGTCAAGAGAAGAAGCAGTGCAGAAACATGAAGCAAATCAAGTTTGTATTGGAAAAGAAGATTATATGGTATGTGCTAGGGCTACTTCAAGAATTAGTGTAGAATGGAGTCCTGAAACAAAGTGGTATTCTCATTTCCCTCATCTCTCACCTTTTTTCTTTTTCCTGATCACCATTATTCTACCTAAATATGGTGTTAAGATCTAAAAGTGGGATTACTTACGACTTAGTGCCTATTGTGGGAAAACTTTTTATACAGACCAAGAAGTAAGAGTTGCAGATTTGTCTTTCTCTCCTTTTGGTAACCCATGGACAATGCACAGCAAGTAGTATTACCTGTTTTCTAGCAATACAGAAGACTGTTCCTTTGTGTTCTATGTACAGGAAAACTCTGAAAACTGTTCTTTAAGGAGCAGCAATTTTGGTCAAGTCTAGAGAAGACAGGGGTTGAGGGAACAGGGGACTTGAGACTTTTGTGGACTTTTCATTAATATTGCTCCAAAATGAGCATCTGGAAAGCAAGAACCAAATCCTGTGGTGCTTAAGCCTGTATTTTTAAGACAACTTCAAGAATTCTTGTAATAAACTTAGTGTTATTTGCTGATGCCTATTCTGTGCAAACTTTTAAATTGCTAATGGTGCAATCTACTCATAAATCCTCCAGGTTTATGAATGAGCTAGTAAAAGAACTGTTAAGAACTTTGTCAGTTAAAAGTGTTGTAATGTTTGAGGAAAGGGGAAAAAATGTCTCTTCTGGGGAAACTTTCTTTATTGAAAGCTTAATACTAATGGTAATTCTAGACGCTGCTGAATCTCATAGAAGATTTGAAGAAGAAACTTATTGCTGAAAAGAATAATAAGTTACTGTTGGAACTAAAAATTCGTGAAGAAGTGACGCAAGAATTTACGCAGTTTTTTGCTAAACGGGAAAGAGATTTCAAGTAAGATGGCTTTAAGTGGTTTCGAAGTTACTGATTTTTTTTTTTTTTTTTTTTTTAAAAAAAAAGGTAAAATTCGTAAGCCTGTCTCAGGGCCAAAAGAAACCACCCACACTCTTCTGATAGACTTAATACATCTGTTAATACATCGGTTTCTGTTTGGAGTATGAGTTCAGGAAAAATGCTGTATAAAAGAGACTTAGATTTGGGGACATAGGTAGGGGTGAATGTGTCTAATCTGTGAGTGGTGTTAGTTCCCTCAGAGCTTTCCCTAAGAGATAGTTTTTGTTGATAGAATGTCTATACAAAGAGGGACACTTGCATGTTCTTTAGTTACTGCAGTCTTGGGATACTCCAGACATATTTTGACTTGAGAAGCTTACTAAAAATGTTTGTAGTTAAGTGCTATCCATAATCTTTGTATATATTTGTCTCCCCTCATTCTTTAGGGGTGTGTGGCATGGGAAATATACTTGTATTTTGGTGTAGCAGTACTATTTTGTGTATCGTTCTATTGTGCTAAAATAAACAACTCTGTTTATAAGCAGCTGTACTAATAACTTCTTAGCATCTCATCCTGGCTGGCTTTTATCTGACTTATTTTTCCTGCTATAGAGAGTGCCTTTCTCAGGAACGAGAACGACTTGAAGAGAATTCTGAAAGACGCCTGGAAATCTTCAAGGAACTTGTAAATGGTTATATTAAAAACACAGATGAAGGAAGTAAATTAAAAGATCGGCCTAGCAGTGAGCAAGCTGGACCTCTGGTACTTTTACCTTTGCACACCCCCTAACCCCAGCCCCAACATCTCTCTTACTAACTACCCATTATGGCCATGGTATGTCTCGGGGGTTAGAAGGGAGGTTTCAAAGATTGTGTGTTGTCTAACTGTATCCTCAGCAAGATATATTTATCCAATTTAATAGGAGTAGTTGTTGAGCCTTGGGTGGGTATGCATTTAGGCATCTTTGGGGTTTTCTGCATACCTGCCACACAAAGTAAAAGTTACTGTATATGAAGAAATTGGGGGGGGGGGGGGAGATAGTGGTTTGGGGGGGGGGGGGGGAATTATGGTATAAAATCTATAGCTTTAGGTGCTTATTTAAAGCATTTGAAGCGGACACTGAAGTGATAGCTAGATTTCCAACTTGCGAGTAGCTCTTGAGTTTGGAACCCTTTGTGGTCTTTAAAAAGAAAAAAAAAAAAACCAAACCAAAACCCAAAGTAACCCCCCCCACAAAGAGGGGAAAAAAACCCCAACAAACCCAAAAACCCCAAAACCAATAACCACCACCAAAAAACATCCAAATTACATGAAAAAACCAAAACCGAAAGACAAAACCCCGCAAAGAGGAAAGATTTATAAAGTCAATGTTTGAGCACAGCTTAATTTGATAAGTTAGCACAAACTTTTACTGACACATGGAAATTTCAGATGTACTCCTTCTATAACTGTTCTCATCAGGTAAAAAAAAAATGCTAGCTTTTACACTAAATTTGGAGGGGATGCTTTTTGTGGTGATGTAAAAGGGAAATGTGATGGTGGGTCAATAAATATTTAAAAAAAAAATTAAAGTAGCTATGACTTGATACTGGAGAGTTGTGTGTAAAAGTCAACAGAAACTGGCAATCAAAACACATGAACCCACAAGATGGTTTTGAAGCCAGAATTGACTGTACTTACATGTTTGAATTCATAATGATCTTTCAATTTTTCTGTAGAAATAATGACTCATGTAATTATTTGCTGTTTCTAAATGGGTATAAATTACCTTTCAGGATGAAGAACATAGCATTGTGCCAGGCACCTACATTGATCTTGAGGGCGTTATTGCTTCTCTGCAGGATGATGTTGCAGATATCAAAAAGCAAGCAGAAGAAGCACATAGGTACATTGGGTGCCTAGAGGACCCACAGAAAGCTATAGCTTGGCTTGAAAAAGAACTGGGAAAAACTACCATTGAACTAACTAAGACCCAAGAAGAGCTGACAAGGAAAACCAGGGAACTAAACAAAACTGAAGAAGAGCTGGCAAAGAAAAGCAAAGGTGAGCTGGGTGTGTGATGTGAAAGGCAGAAAAAAGAAAGGACTGACTACTGTTAAGTAGAAATAATGATCCAGTTGAGCAGGATTTTGGAACCAAATCATATGTATCAAGGTGGTAACCAGTTATTTTATGTATTTTCAGGTTGAGCAATTTCACAGGTCTCGGTTATTCCATTTTTAAGACTAAAAATTATCAGTTGCAGACTTCTGAATTGTGGGGTAAAATATAAAATTGAATCTTGATTTCATGATACTGTAGCCCCAGCACTTTACATTTTGCTGATTCATTGTTTTTGGGTACCTTGTGGAACGTTCATAGAGGAAAAAGTAACAATACCTTATAATACAAATTCACCAGAAGTCTCTTGACATGAAGTATGTGTGGGTTGCAAGGCCCAATTCTCTGGTTTTTTAAAACCTTAGCAACTTCTGAAGTGTCCTATAAGCAGATGTCAACATGGAAATAAATCAATCTATTCAAAAGCTACTGAGGTACCAGAAGACCTGGAAAAATAGACTAATAAGTAAACTACATATTGCCTGCTTATTTGATACAGTCTTTTCTTGTTACAGACATCGAAACACAGATGATAAAATTAGCTGAGTCATCTGAGCAGCTTAAAGAAGCAGCTGAGGTAACTTTCTTAAGGAAAAACTTGTGCAAAATGATGTGCTTTAATACAGAATTCCAGTAGCTTAAAATTCTATTAATGTATACTTCTAGCTTATTTTTTTGCATCAACTTAGTTTAACTGATATTGCTTCCAAGTAGTTCAATGATTTAACACTGACTGAACTACTATTCTTTTGTTTCCAAGAAAATGAATACACAGAATAAAAGGATTCAAGAACTAATGGACATTGTGGAGCAAAAAGATGATGTTATTACGAGACTACAAGACCTAATATCCCTTTTAGAGGAAACCGTAAAAGACTATGTAAGTCTTGGGCTTCTCAATTTTCTTTATACAAAGATCTAAATATATTATAATTGGCTTAACTACTTAAGAAAAGTGAATTTTTCTGTAAGTAATTGCTACTTGCTTGAATGGTAGCAGGTGAGTTGACATTGAAAATAAAGTTACAGCAAAATGTGCGAGGGGGTGTATATGGAAAAATGGGACTTTCAGAAGCAGTGATCTTGGAGGCATTGGGCAAATGTTGATGAGACTTTGAAGAGCCACCCTAAAGAAAGTAGGAGGGGGTGAAAATCAAAACTCAAACTGGGAGGATTTAAGCAGTGGGAATAAAGGGATTATGTTGCTGTCTTTACTTTTGCCTGAATGGAAGAGGAAGAAAAGGAGGTTTTGCTGCAGTGAAAAGTCGAATTTCATTGACGTTAAAAAGCTAATAATGTGAGAAGGATAGTGATTGCATAAACTGGTAAGAAAAATCTGTGTGTTTCTCCCACTACCACCACCACCACCACCACCACCATGCACACACACTTTTACAGGAAGAGCAGTAATATGAATATATTGGGCAGAGTCTGAACTGGGAGCGGTCGGCCAGGGTATCTCTGCTTTTGATGTGATTAATAAAACTTGCAACTGGCTAGTCTAGTACCACCTGCTGAATAACAGAAGACTAGCTTGGCTAAATGTATAGCGGTTTAAAAAAAGCCATCAAAACCTGCACTTAAGGGGTTTTTTTGAGCCTGATTGTCCAGTAACCTGAAGTAGTTCTGAGAACCTGTCAAATTAAACTTAGTCAGCACTCTGAACCATTTCTCTTTCCCACTGTAAGCTTACTGCTTTGATATACTTAATCTTCTACTCCCTCTCCTGCCCCACAGCAACTTAGCTTTTCAAAAGTGTGAATGCTCTGAGAGTGTAAGAGTTTTAATGACTCCTTCGCATTACCACTCCTTCCCAGAGCAAGGCTCAAAATCTGTCCAGTGTTTCTATGAAATTGTGTCACAAAACTTAAAACATGACCACAGACATCATGCCTGAATTTTTTTTTTTTTTTTTTTTTTTGGAAGTACATAAAGATGAATAATTGGTCCTTGGCAACCAACATGGCTTGTCCCTTTTGTCATCTTGAAAGCGAAACTTTGTTCTTGATCAAACATACAGTCTAACTGGTCTTTTAAGTTGCATTAGATCTGTCATGATAGAAAAAAAAAATAAAAAATCTGTGGCTTTGCTGAAGGCTGTTGAAACTTCCAGCTACTAAGTATGACAAGAAAGCGACGAACTTACAGAGCTGACTACTTTGTACAAATCAGAAATTTCCTCAGCTTTTTGACACTGGACACTGCTTTAGGTGGGGAACAAAATCCTCTTACGTGCAAGTCTTGTATTTTGTAGTTTCTTAGTTTCCTGCTATACTTTCTGTACTTCAGATAAGCACGATGCTTTGCACTGTATCTGAAGGTGTACCTGCTTTTGATTTAAGTAACTGATCTGTAGCTGATTTGTAACTTTCACAACCCCATAACATGCTAGATAATTGTGTAAAAATATTTGGCTATATAAGATTACTAAGCTTTTTAAGTGCTCACTTTGTAAAATGTAGAAGTAATTGATTTTATTTCAACACAGGACAACACTGTAACTAGCCTTAAAAGAATGGCAGAAAAAACCTCTAATCAGGTGATTGAAAGCAGCCAATTCAAGGATTGTGAGGATACTGTATTAGAAGTGGGAAGAAAACGCTCCTTTGAAAATGGGCCTACTGTGGAAGAAGAGCCACCTACAAAGAAAGGTACAATTTCTACCATCACTCAAGATGGGGCCTCTCAAAAAAACTTGATTAGTATTCCAGAAGAGAAACTAAAAGTTGTGAAACGTAAACGTTGCATTATGAAGAGAAAATCTACTATGTTAAACTGTAAATGGAAGTAACTTATATAAATTTCATCTGTCTTGCAGCAGGTCCTATACTGTTGACTCCTAAATGCTTAAAATAAAAGTTAGTTTTTAGACTCTTTCGCTTTTTCTCATCTGTTTATGTACTTGCACGCTCAGCTGTAGTTTTTAAGCAATTTCTTAGCACCTGTTTTTGTACAGAACTTGCTGTTGATGGACTTCTGGAAAGTAGCATCTCCCTCTCAAGTTTTTTAAAATATTCTAAGCAAGCATCAAAAGGGTCTATCAATGACTTTTTTTGGTCATACGGTATGTGCTGTTAAACTTGATGTTTCATTCTGAAGGCATGCTGTGAACACACCAGCTCTGGTCACAGTGACAGTGCTGGCAAAGGAGAGAAATTTTCCACTTGAATGGAAGTAAAATTATTTCAAGTCCACAGATAGAATATTTTGTGCATCTCTCACATTTGCACTTCAGTCTTTTTGCTTTCCTTCCTTCAGCTGTGAACTTACTTGTTCTCTTAGAATGAGGTGAATAAACCAGCTGCAGTTGAAGGCCTTCAAGGATAAGCGTGAAACTTAAAAGAACACTGCACTTACATTATCCATTTCATTAAGGTCTATTAATCAGTGAGATTTGAGCTATGGGACAGGCTTGTACGAATGGTGTATGTAAGGTCTATTAATCAGTGAGATTTGAGCTATGGGACAGGCTTGTACAAATGGTATATGTAAGATCTGCCTGTCTCTAATGTGACCTCAGAACATAGCTGGGCTTCAGTTTCTCAGAACTATGGAAAAGCACATACAAAAGAAGAATGAAGTGTCTTCCCTTTATGTCCCTTACTTTCTTGCCTTCCTCTTGAAGAACAGGTGCAAGCAAGAAAGTTCCAGGGGAGACCGGGATAGAAAAATAGAAATAACATTTAAAAAAATGGGAAGCAGAAAACATTTATCTCCATAAAGAGGAGATAAACATTTTAAAAAGAGACTTGTTAAATTCACATGCTCACAGAAAACTGTAGATACAGATAGTGAGTAAACTTAAAGCTGGACTGTCATTTATCACACTCTGCAGTGAAAGAACAAGGGAACACTAGGTTGAGTAGAAGATCAGTTTAAGTTTATGGAAAAAAGCATTTCATGCAGTGAGTAGTGAACTTCTAATGTTTCCTGCCCTAGAAAGTATGAGATGCAGATGATTCTCAGATTCCAGGAGTGATTAGACAAGCTAACAGCCAAGAGGTCCACACACAGACACTGAAAAGGTTAAGCAGGGATATATTGTCCCATATTCTTCCAACACTCCCAATTGTTCTGTGTCAGGGAAGGTCTGTAGGAAGTGACTGGACCTACCAACAGTAGAAAAAGGAGGTAAAATATTAGGCTATGTCAACTGATAGTGTGTGATGCAGTAGAGCATCTCTGATGTTTGTACAACTTCAAATAAGACAGTCCTCAAAAGACACAAAAATCTTCAGTCTCTGTACCAGATGCATATCTGATTGCTATCTTTGATTAGGATGAATATTGGATCATAGTATTGATGGCCATTTGATGGTGCCACCTATATAGGTGTTACAGAAAGGGGGTGGGAAATGAAGCTGATGTGGACTGATTGATATACTAGGTAGTAGTAGGTTTGTTATCTCATGACTGAAGCTTATCTAAACAAATAAAAAATAGGGAAGTAATAGCTCTTCTCAAACAAGAAATTGGATATCAGTGCCAATTAATATATGCACTGAGATTTTTCTGTTGGGAAGAACATGCTATTCAGACATGTTAAATATGGAGGGGTTTTTGTGGGTGTTGAATAGGAAGCATCTGATTTTAAAACTGGGTTGTTTGATGCTCCATAATGATGACATTTATTAATATATGCTTGTGTTTAACCAATCTTGTTATATGTACAAGAGAATAATTTGCAGCTACACTGTGACTGTTTTCTCATAGTATTTGGATATGCTAATGGCCTAAGACCAAAGTTTATTCTGGGAGAAGATAAGTTATTTTGTTGTGGACTTTGTTTGTGTACTCTTCTTTAGAACTTGCCTTCTGTATTTTGGGATGGGCCTTTTTATTTCTAAGTACTTCCTACATAAAAAGCTTCTGGACTAAATATCATATCTTCTTGCATTAGTATTTTACTTTGCTGTGTGTTTGTGATTGTCAGTACCATCTAAATTGCCTCTAAATCCTATTGTGAATGATCATGCCCCACTCACTCACTATAGGTGTTGGGCTATGATCTGCTACTTTTTTCATCTTGGCACCTTAGATTACAAAATATGTCTTAAGGCACCTCAGCACCTCTCCCTTATAGTGAACTATGCAAAACTCATGTCCGGTGTGAAAATATGTAGCATTTGGATAGGGAGAAAACCATCCTCCTACCCAGATTTTTTCATCTTGTAGGATTCAAAAGCATGGCTTTAAAGCCATAGTAAAGCTGCTTTTGTGTCTGACCTAGCAGGAGCACTTGCTATATGTCTAACAAGAACAGGAAAAAAAAAAGTATAGAAAAGCTGTAAGGAAAAACATCCTTTGGAATTTGATCACTCTAAAAATAAAAAAAAAAAAAAAAAAACAAACCCAGAACCTCATTTCAGATGGAGGACGCTATTGCTAATGCTTCAGTATGGCTTTCTGTTAGTGACTCTATGAAACTTGTTGGATCTCTTTGGAAGATATTTCCATGCGGTGCCCATGAGCTTAATGCTTCCAAAGTGAGATGACAGCCAAATTCCACCTTACTGTAGTTGCAGTACTTGCAAGAATCCATAGTATCTCCCAGTCAGGCTTGATTTTGATACTAAAACATAGAATGTATGCTACTAATTGGACACTGCTGGATCCTAAAATGCTTGTATGAAATATAGCTGGAGTCAATTTTGAAGGTGGTGAAATGTGTGTTATCTTAGTTAGAATTGCTCATTACTTAGGGGGAAAACCAGTCTCCAGCTAATAAAATATTTATGAAAACTTGGGATTGGGGTGGAATTTTCACCCATCTTTCTGGGAGAACTTTATGTGCAACACATTAGGTGTGTGCATAAATAGTTATTCTTGTATCTAGTTTAGAAACCAATTGAAAAGAGAGGAAGGTCCCAACACTAAGCAAGAAAAACTTGTGCTGGATTTTTAGCTTAACTTTTAAAGTTAAGGGGATGGCAAGTATGAATGAAACGTCTCAGAAATGTACATGACATTGCTCTTCTAAACATGGAATGAGTGATTGCTGGTTGTATTTAATGGATTGTTGAACTGGTGAAGGTGGAAACTAAATATAAGTGGATGATATCTAGCTCACAGGTATCAGTATGTACTAGTAAAACTGGAAAGACCTTTCTACTAGTGCTGCAGAGCAGAAGACTGTAATAGAGCCATGGAAAAGTGATCTTTAAGACTTCTGAGCACCTCCTGCTGCAAATTGTTCCTAGAAGCCTAACAGGCACCTATTGCATGTTAAGCTATTCAGAGGGCCTTAACTACTTCAAGACTCCAAAATGTCTGATATAGGTAAATTCTCCATCCCTGACAGTGTTCAAAGCCAGGTTGAACAGAGTCTTGGGTGACATGGTCTAGGGTGTGAGGCATCCCTGCCCATGGCAGGGGGGTTGGAACTGGATGATTTTATGGTCCTTTCCAACCCTAACCATTATGTGAGGGTGTGGCTTTCAGATGGTGACTGCTTTCCACATAGTAATTACTATCTGGTGCTGCTAGTGACTTGACTTGTACTATCTGTTTTAACCAACCTGAGCTGTTATGTTGTTGTTTTTGTTTAGGAGATACAAAAGAGAGTTGGGAACATGACTCTTTGGAGCAAAAGAGAACTGAATGTCTGAAAACAAATGCTTCTGAGAACTTTGCAGAAATACTAGCACTGAGGGAAAGAACTGAAACCTTGGAAGGTCAGCTAGCTGCACTTGAAGAAAACAAAAAAGAGTTTAGCGAGCAGATAACAAACTTGCACCTCAAGCTCTCTGCTTCTGAAGAAAGGGCTTCTGGCTTAGGTGAAGAACTTCAGCAGTGTCGAGCTGATTATCAGGAGATTGCTTCCGAATTGGATAAACAGAAAACTATAAATAGAGAACAAGAAGAAAAGATTGTTCAGCTAAATAATGAAGTAGAAGCAGCAAAACAAAATATAATTGATAAAGTGTCACAAATTAAAGCAATGCTGACCAAAGTAGATGAGTTGTATAAATGTCAGTCGCTAACTGAGTCTTATGCTATGGATATTGATTTTGTTAATCTAATAGCTTCCTTAGACTCTCAAAAAGGCAAACCAGAGAGAGCTCAAGTGAGTTCTGTATACATGCAGTCCCAAACTGCTTCTTCAGAAGATCAGAGATGGGAGGGCTCCTTTCACAGCAGTGTTGAAAGCATTTGGGAAGAATGCAAGAATATTATAAAGGTTTCTTCACAAAAAAGTCAGCGGATTCAAGAACTACTTCAACAAGTTGAAGACTTAAAGAAAGGACTTGATGACTCTGAGAATTGTAATAATCAACTGAAAATAAAATTAAATGAAATTGCAAATCAAGATCATCAGTCCTCAAAGGAAAAAGAACTTATGAGTCAGTTACAAGAACAAATCCAGAAGAAAACAGAGGATTTTGAAAAACAGGCTGCAGAAGATCACAGAGTAATTGCACAGTTTGAGGAGGAAGTTACCACCTACAAAGGAAAAATAAGAGAGCTTGAATGCCTATTGGAGGCTTTCAGAGCTAAAGATGACAGCATAGAAAAGTTAGAAGTAGTACTCAAAGAAAAAGAATCTATTATTTTAAATCTAGAAACTAATACAGCAGTTCTGCAAGAGAAATGTGCTAATTCAGACCAAAAAATTAAAGAACTAAATGATAAAGAAGCAAGTCTGAAGGAGGAAATTGTGCAGTTGATGAACAGTTTGGAGAACGTGAAACACTGTCTTCAGGAGAAAGAGAAAAATGAGGATGAACAAATACGATCTATAGAATTGTAAGTAAATAATGAGAACTTCTAGACCTTTGAGAATGGACTCAAAACTACCTTTTGTGAACAACAGTTTATTTAGACATCACATTTTCGTATTTATCAACTTTATTAACCAAACTGCTTGTTTAAGAAGTTTTAAAACACTACTTGAATTTTACAGTTGCATGTTCTGCTGACTGTTTTCCTCACCTGTTTCTATATTCTTTCATAAATCCAGATCTAAATACTGTAGAACTACTATAGGGGGAAACAGGAGCATGCAACGAAATAATTATTTGAGGATCTCTAATACTTTTATGTTGCATACCCTTTCTGGAGGAAGTAACATACAGTTTAATGTTATATCCTGTAACTTGTATAAAAGCAGGTAGTGTTTTCTTTGGAAAGGACTGAATGTTAAGGAAAAAAAGAAAGGAAAAAAAAAAGAGAACTTAGGGAGTAAACAGCTGGTTTTGATTATAGCTATTCTAGGTGAACAGAGTCTACTATAAGAACTTTAAGAAATAAGATACTAAATGTATCTGACAGACTGTATTTGCTATAAGGTAAGGAAATCGCAAGACATAAAAATGATGCTATGTAGGTCTTCTCCTTACTAGGGGTTCTTTAGTGCCATATTTGTAGGTACCTACACATACTCTGAAGCACAACTTAACATGAAGGTCTGGGGATCCCCCACCTTGAAAGGTGTTCCTCCTGATGTGAGGCCTTGTTTTGTATCGTCAGTTATAGAATCCAAAAAAAACTTCTACAAGTTTTAAAGTAAAAATCCAAGATGTCTTACTGTAAACTTTAAAAAATAACTATGATAATTTAAAAATAAACTCATCAAACTTCTTAATTACTTTGTAGCACTTGTAACAGCAGTACTTGTTGCAATGTTAGTGTTTTTTCTATTTTCTTATTTTTACATATTTGATCCTTACAAGGTCTGGGATGTAGATATCAAATTTAAACTTACCTTGTTCCTTTTCTTACTTTGTAAAGATGCCTAATGAGAAAATGGTTGGTCTACTCCTCTTAAAAATAGATTGCAGTGTTCGGAAGTAAATCTGATCAGTTTGTTACTTCAGGGTCATATAAGAAGCAGCTGAAATCCAGAAGTAAAGTTGTAAGGCTTGTCATCGATCTGATAAATCTAAGATTCTTTTAATGAATAAAAACACAAAGAGCCTGAGTTAATGTGGAAAAGCTGTTTTTCTGAGATATGTAACACTAATGTCATTTATTTCTCTCAATTTTGAACGCAAGGCTACATAAAGATCTTTCTGAGAGTTCCGCCCTTGTACAGAGTTTGAAGGAAGACTTACAGAGGGAAAAGGAAAAATATACAGATTTGAAAGAGAAATTTTCTGATGCCAAGAAACAAATTCAGCAAGTACAAGAAGAGGTTGGTAACTAGAGGCCAAATGTTTCTTCTGCAAGTTTTTTTGTGGTTCTGTTATTAAAACCTGTGTTCACAAGTTTCAAGCTACGAATGTTAAGTGAATGATAATAAAGCTGTTTCAAGTGATGCATTTAGCATAACAGTGAATCTTAAGTTAAATTGCCATTAAAGTTGTAGGCTAAAGATAATACCAGATGTCAAAGCACAGATTAATACAAATATTGAAGGGGGGATGTAAATTTTATTAATGTATTTGAAAAGGTTTGTAAAACCTACGGCTGATCTGGTTATGGCGAAGGAGTTTATGATCTTTATGAAAACAGTAGCCTTATGTTATTTGTGCTGACTTCAAAGACTCGTATTTTGGGTGGAAAACACTGATATCTGGGAGGAGATGGGTTATTCGGAAAAGAAAACTTTTAAAAATTTGAGTTATGTTTCCTATTAAGGTGCGGGGAAGAAATGAAAACATGGAATCACTTTAATGTTAATTGCTAGTATTTGGTTATCAAGCAGCAGGATTTCTTAGAACTTCATGGGATATTGCAAGAACTTAAAATCCAAAAGGCAATTGCAAGAGTTTGGCTTGAAAAATAAGACTTAAGGTATTAATGTCTTCCCCAGCAGCCTATCATTTGAGGACCTTTTCCTATTCAACATTCCATGTATAATCCCTTGTTTGAGAAATAGCAAGAAACTTATAGCTTGATTAGATTATTTCCTGGTGGGTCTTTTTTGTGGGTTTTACATTTGTGGGTTTTGTTTTGTTTTCGTTTTTTTGGTTTGGTTTTTAACCCCCTGCCCCTGAAACTTAGCTGTTTACGGATATTTAACTCTTAATTAAAGTAATTAGTTATTTAGATAACTAATTGGTTGTAAAAGCTTATACAAAATGCTAGCTTTACTTGATGTCTTTGTGCACTGTTACAGGTGGGTACAATGCGATCTGAGGAGAAATCACTGAGGAACAAAGTTAATGAACTTCAGAGAATTAAAAACCAGCTTACTGAAGAATTAGAGAGCAAACAGCGCACAGTTCTGCAACTTAAAAAGGTTGGAGTTTTGTGTTGTGTTTTTGGTGGTGGTGGGTTTTTTTTTTTTTTTTGTTTTTTATTTTACTTGCTCTCTATTTTTTTAATGAATCCATTAATGGGGCAAGCAACAAGAGAAAGCTTACAGAAAGAGGGGTAAATATGAGAGTAGCCAGTTGAAATTAATTTCAATAGGTGAATAAAAGATGTTTAAAGAATTTCTCACTGCATGACACTGTCAAATTGTTTTTAAATAATCTGCCTAACGAATACACACTTAATACTTGCAGATATTCTGATTAGTGACACATAGATATATTAGTAGTAATGTCTTCCTCTGAACTTTTTTGTTTTTTAATCAACTTGAATGCTCCTTAACACTACATAAAAAAATTATGCTGGACTATTTTTCTTAAATGCTTTAGGAGCAGTTGAATAATGAGAAGCTGGAAGAAATCTCCAAAGAGTATGAGAAAACATGTAAAGGTCAGAAAAATCAGTTTTTGTTACTTGCTCTCCTTGGTGTGGAATGGCAACGCAATGATTTGTCATATTGTTAATGAATTTGGGACAGTTTTGTATATTTATAATTAAAATACTTAGAAACTCCAATCAGGGTATTAAAGTGATAGTCAGGAACTGAATTTTATTGAATGATTATTTGCAGGTACATTTGAAAACAAACAGTCTCAGAATAAGAAACATATAAGCCTAGAGAAAATGTGGATTTGCTGATATCAGTGTCAGCTTATTAAATATCGGTATTTATTAGTCATTTTAGCAAATTCAAATACTGACACACAAACTAGCACACTAATGTTTTCTGCAGGTTTGACAAACATACAGCATTTGAACAATGATTAGTTTTACATATAATACAAGCCACGGTCTGATGTTAAACTGAAATGCTCATGAGAATCATTTAAGAATTTTGGATTCCAGTAGTTCAGTAAAGTCGCACTATTTCTTTCTAACAGAACTTTTGAACTTGGGGAATGGGGAAATGGCTTGTAACGAAGGCCCTTTGGACGAGAATGGTGGGAACAAGGAGAGGGCTTGTCCTGCTGGGGTAGAATTAAGTTTCTTCCTAGTAGCTGGTACAGTGCTGTATTTTGGCTTAGTGTGAGATTAATGTTGAAAACGACGACTAAAACATTGGTGTGTTTAGTGCTTTCCCATGCTCAGTGAGGAGGAGCACAAGAAGCTGGGAGGGAGCACAGCCAGGACAGCTGACCTGAACTAGATTAAGCCATGATAGGGCTCATCTGTAAATATCTTTTCAAATCTTCAGATCTGTGTGCAAAGGAAAAAATAATTGAAGATATGCGGATGACATTAGAAGAACAAGAACAGACACAGATTGAACAAGAAGAAGTGATTGAAGCCAAACTAGAAGAGACCAACAGATTAGTTTTGGGTAACCTATGGAAAGGGAATAGGGAGGCAAAATTGTATTGGATCTACTGTGATTAGCTGCTTTAAATTTCTGGTTTTATTTGTTGACTGATAGTTAGGCATACATTTTATGTAGTACATAGCAAACTTCTAACAGCTAAAGGCTCTGTTGTCCGTTTGTGGTCATAGCTGATAAATCCAAGTAACGTTAGTATAAGGATGTGAATGTGCTCAAATATGCACTTGAAACTATATATTATGTAACCCCATTTTGTGTACTGACTAGAACTGGAAGTATGGAAGCAGAAATATAGAGAGCTGAATAACCAGAGCGATAGTGACTGGCAGCAAAAGATGAGGAAAAATGAGAAAAACAGAAGTGAAAATGAGGAAATAATAAAGCTGCAAAAAGAACTGAAGGTAAAATATGGTCACGTAATTCATACTTAGTTTTAAAGTCGTAACTTCTGTTTAGGAATCTACTTTTTTGTGTGTGTTACTATCTTCAAGAGCTAGGGCATTATATGGCAAGTTGTTACACTAGTAAAGGAAAGCTCCTCTAAAAGCTGCTGGTGCACCAGTGCAGCACAGTCTGGATGCAATATCTTCGTCACATATGGCATCACTGCCCCATAATGAACCGCACCCTTCCCTATATTATGCTACCATAGATGTGCTTACATAGCTAGGCTTCTCTTACAGTTGTCTTAGCTAATCTAACTTCTGATAGCTATTACTAACTTCTTTCCTGTCAGTTGCTTCGACAACTAAATTAAACGCTTTCAAGATCTTGCATTTGCTATATGACCTGTAAGCCCTTCTTATTAGGCTGAGGATTCATCCTTACTTCTCACTGAATTATAGAGGAGATTTTCCTCCCTGCCCCCACATCAGCATTTCTGGTGCCTTCTGTTTTATATGGGTGAATGTCTGACAAGAGCTTTGATTGTGATTGGAAAGGAGGCAAAGTTGCTGTGATTTGAAGTGACATGCTTTGGTATGCCCTGTCTCTGCCTACCATTCAAACTGTGCTGCATTCTTTGCCTTTCAGTCTTGAAGTAGAAGTAAGTTTTCTAACACGTCCTTCAAGGCAGCATAAAAGATTGGGAATTTGTAAGTTAAAAGGGTCTCTTTACTTTTGGTGTAACTTTTATAGTGTGCTCACTCAGCACGTTTTTAGATGGGGAAAGAAAATTCTTTTCCCTGAAGATGTGTCAGTCTGAATAAAATGTGCTGAAAATTGTTCATTTTTTTTCTAATACAGAGGAACATGAGAATGTAATACTTGGGAAAATGCTGGAATAAAACTGTGTTAGTATTTTTGTGTTTTTGAAACAAATCCATTTAATCGTAATCTGGATTCTGAAACATACTTCCCCTCCACCCTTAATCTCTATGTATGGTTTTATTTCTGGTTTAATTAAAATAGGAAAATGAGGCAAAGTATCAAACTGATAGAAAGAAGTGGCTGGAGGAAAAAATGACACTTATACATCAAGTAAAAGATGCTGAGATCCTTCACAACAGAGAAATGAGAAAATTTGAGGAAGAAAGAGAACACCATGTAAAGCAACAAGCAGAAATTGTAAGTGACTGGAAGTCTTAGTGATGACTGAGTTCTCTAGTGTAAGTCTTTAGTACAGAGCAAATCTCTTGTCAAGTGTTAACAGTGTGGGTGCTTGAGGGTAGCTGGCCTTTATCAAAATCCCCTCACTTTATCACATGGCAAAGCCTAGATGAGATCATATCATGAAAAGGGAAGAACAGGAGGGGCCACCAAATAAAAAAGCTTAGTATGTAATGGAAGTTAATGTGCCTGTTCTTTCTACCCTATCACCACCTCACTGAATTCTTCAAACTTCGTTTTGTGGGTAAAACACCTATCAGTAACTTCCACTTAAATGAATTGCTACTTAATTGAAGCTAAGAAAACATACTTTAAAAAACAGATTGTTTGGCTTTTTCCTAAAAGTGGAAGTTGACAAAAAAATCTTCTTTCCAGATATAGAGTAAAAATACTTGGTTAAAATGCTAGTGGTTTTGCTCCCGTATCACTTTCAATGTAGAGTGATTGATAGTTAATAACAAGGTAAATACCTTGTCTGTTCACAAGACTGTCAAGGTTGTTTTTCTTAAACCTATAACATTATTATATGAATCTGACCAATCTAACATTGTATTTGCATCCAGATATAGTTAGCAATGACTTTCTGGACCTGCAATCAGTACAGGAGGATATTAGGAGCTTGATATTACTTTAACATTATCTGTGACTTTGCTTGCCTGAGACTTGCTCTCTCTGATTTTATTACTAACAGAATATAAATATAGATTCAGATTTTTTAATTGAAGCATAGTTTGCTTTTGCATATTTGTTGTGAAACTAGTTCTATGTGAGCTTTGTAAGATCTACATAGGCTTTCAAATTTACTAAGGCCATAAAATAGTACTGTGTGAAACCAAACTATCAGAACAGTTCAGATAGTATGTAGAACTAGAGTTCAATTCTAATCTATTTTTTCCTATTTAGGAAAGACTTGCTGCAGAGCTGGTAGAAAAGGACAACAATCTTCAAAAGTGGCGTGAAGAAAGAGATAAATTAGTAGAAGCTTTGGAAGTACAGCTCAAGACTTTGGCTTCTAACACCACACAAAAAGATAAGGAAATAGCAGAACTGAAACAGGCTGCACTAAAGGATTTGGGAAAGGTTCTCTCTCTCTTGTTCTTGTAGGATTTTTTTTTTCTTTGTTTGTTATTCATTAATTCTGCAAAACACGGTACTTTTTGCATTTTGGCTCTATTTTTTGTTCTTACTGTCATATTGAAACCATTAGCAGTTCATTAAAAATAGAAGCTTTATTTATGTTTGAAACTGAATTTGTAACAGTAACAGAAGTTTCAAAACATTTAGCAGTTTGTTTAAACACTCAAGTCTATTTGGTCCTTTGGTTGCATAGCTGGGCTGGAGATCTGAAACAATTATCACAGCTGCTGCTTTTTTTACAGCCCCATAGACTTCATGAACAAATGGGAGGTGAACTATTTATAGCTCCACATAAGTAGAGTAAAAATAAAAATTTGTATTTCATCTTCCCAGGCTGTTACATGACGTTTCCTCACTTTAAATAGTGAGCGTTCATACATGAAATTACTGGCTTTTTGTTGGATAGCTGACTGTTTTAGCCTGCAATTCTGAAACTGTTGCTTCCAAGTAATTTTAATGATGCTTGTCTATATATTATTTTGTTTTGCTAATCCTGCCATTTGTGGCAATTTTTGCTATGGTTTTTAGAATAAGGAAACTGATATAGAAGAACTAAGAAAACAGCTGGCTGAGAAAGATGACTTTATAAAGGAGCTGAAACAACAGATAAACCATGAAAGTCTTCAGTCTTTGGCAAAAGTACCTTTGCCTGAAGAAGGACAAGATGAAATAGATCAGTCTGTAAACAAAGAGGTATGGCTTGTTATGGAAAGTATGTACTAATTGTAAGGTTTTAATAACTTCTGTTGTTTTCTCAGTATGTGTTTCAGCAACACTGGGAATCTACCAAAACTTACTGTTCATAGTTCTTTGTACTTTAACTGTATCTTTGGTTCTGAGTTCTTGTTCATACTTTCTCTCTCCCACTTTTGCTATCAGAAAAAAGGTACTTTAGTTAATAGAATACCATCTCTATACATTATAGAACTGACATGCCTGAGGAAAAAACTAGTTAACTACTCCAGATTCTAGAGACTTTAAGACATTGTAGTGCCACTTCAGTTTGGTTATTATGTTAGGGAATTTCAGCTCAAAACTCTTGTGATATTGCCTATAGTATGGTGATAGAGATGATTCTGTAATTGGAGCTGCCACCCCATATGGGGGTTCACAAGAATAAAACAGTATCTTGCATCTCACTAAAAACCAAAACAATATTTGAAGTTTACACAAAGAAAATATCAACTTTGCTTATTTCCTGAAGAAAAATTGAAAGGCTTGCAACTGTACTGAGACTTCCAATTTTGACTGAACCGTTATTTGTTACATGAACAGTGTTTAATGATATAGTTCTGCTAAACTAAATGAATGCTGTGTGGCTCTATTGCTAATTAATAAGGAACAGGGCTGAACATGGATTTCCTAGCAGTCCCTCCCCTGGCTGCTAGAACATGCATTTCTCCTCTTGCTACAGAACTGGACTGAATGACAAAATGCATCTTCATCTCTTTCCTGTCTACTGCCAAATAAGACTGGCTAGTTTCTTGCTACTTCATCCATTCAGCTAGTGCTATATAGATAAAGCTTGTGATGAATGAGGGAGGACAGAGTAGCTCTCAGAAGGGTTACTGCTTTACACAGCTTTGTAACAGCAGGTAAGAGAGCTTTTTTTTTTTTTTCCCCCCTCTATAAAAAGAGTTATTGAAGAATTGTTGTGAACAGTTGGTGCTGATGTATTTACCTCAACAAAGTAGAAACAATACTTGTTGCTATGGGTAAGGAGAAGCATCTAAAAGGATTATAGTGTGAGAAAATTTTGTTGATGTTGAAGTGAATGTGGTAAATTTTCTGGGGAGAAGTCAAATAATTCTTAGGAAAGACACTGTGAAGATAAAGAATTAAAACTAAAGCAAACAAGGGGATATGTGTCTCCTGCCATGTAAGATGAGGCTAAGAAGATGGCACTCTGATTAGGAGAGGTTAAGGCTACTGGAGAGTTATGGAGCTGAGATTTACAAAATCATGGTTGTGGTGGGTAAACAAAAGCCAGAACTGTCCTTCCTAAAATCCTTCAAGAATTGGGCAGCATTTGATGAAACTAATAGGAGATAATTTTAAAACAATTAAAATAACCTATTCCTATCTGAAGCCACTAGTGGTCTGGAAATGAGTACTATCAGCAGGGAATAGAAAAACTTGTATTTGAAATCTATAAATGTATTCGTAAATGGATACTCTGAGAGTTAGGCAGAGGTATATCCTTTGACCCCTCTAATGCAACAACCAAGAGTGCCAGGTGAGTATGGAGAGAATAGATGACAAGGTGGCAAGGATAACACATCTTATCCCTCAATAATAGCATCTCCCTTTGCCACTGCCAGAGGCCGAATATTGAGCTAGATGGACTGTTGGTGAGACCCAGCAGGGCATCTCTTATAATCTCCTAGTGAATAGATGTTAGTGACTTAAAATGTGTCCTGTTTCCTGTTGCCCAAACAATTCTAAGTGGTTTTTGGGTTTGTGGGGTTTGTTTTTTATTTTCCCCTGTAAATCTATCTCGACGATCACCTGGTTTTGTGGCTCTTGGTAGCAATAAAAGCTGTATAACATAATCATGTGAATATATCTGACTTGAACCTGTGTTCTTGAAAACTTACCTCTTGCCGATGCTCGTAATGTAGCTGATCATTAAACAGATAGCAACTGTTCAACTCATCAGTTGAATCTGGCTTGAATCAGTTGGACCTTGTTATTTACACAATTCTCTAGTGTAGAAGGGGAAAGGAAAGTTCCCTAAAAACAAGCTAGAGGAATATTATACTTTTCTCTCAAGCTCCTATTACTGCCCACTTCCTAAGGAGCAGCAGAATTAACATGAATAAAATTGTGTCAATGCTACTTCTGCTGTGAAAACTGTGATTAACTGTCTCTGCCCTTGAGGAAAATGATTTGTAAGCAAAGTACCAGGCTGAGTTCAGCAAAGAAGACTAAGTTCTGTGATCATATATGTAAGTGTTAACTTTTTAATATTTAACAAATAAGTTTTAGAAAATAAGAGTTAAACTTTACTATAGTTGAAGCAGATTTCTTCACTTCTAATAAAAGTGTTCCAAAAGCTGATGGCTAGAAAAAGGAATGCTTGCTTTGCAGTCCAGTGGGGAAGGATATGTATTATAGTATTTAAGTCATAATAGTTATTGTAAAGCTTGTTTTCTTAAGATGTCCCAATGCTTGCAGGACCATTCGGAAATTGTCCTTGACTCGTCTGAAGTGTCTACAGAAAATGGAAAAACTAGTCGGTTCCCAAAACCAGAGATGGAAATCCAGTTCACACCTTTGCAACCCAGTAAGATGGAGGTGAAGCACCAGGGCAGCACCATACCAGTTACAGTTAAAATGCTCAAGCCAAGAAAGAAAAGAAAAAGTGAAGAGATGGATGAGGTATGACCTAGACCAACTGATACATTACGTTGTGCAGTCTTTCTCTATTACTCTAATCATTTGTTAAAATCCTATCCTAATTCTCACTGAGACCCAAAAGGTATATGTAGGGTATATCTAAGCCTCTTCAATGTCTCTATGCTTCTAAGGACTTTTGAAGCTAAGGTGAGTATGAGATTGCGGATGATTTGACTAGGTGGTAAGTGATCTCTTTTAGCAAGGAACTTGTCTCAGCTGAAGAGTGAAGTGTCTGATGCTTTTCTAGCATTGTGATATATATTTTTTTTTTTAATCTCTTAATTAAATAGTTAAGATAAATAATCGCTTCCATGATTAGTGTGTAACAGTACTTCAATAAATTCATTTTGTTAGACCTGTTAAAAGCTGTGTAAGTCAGTTCATCTGGAATGCAAGGCTTCATTCTGGAATCATGTCCAGAATTGATTTAACTTTCTTGTGTCTTGAACCAGTTTTCTTTGAGAGTAGTATTTTTTCAGCCTGCTGGAAAAATAGCTGTAGTAATAACCACCATTCTGAAGGCATTGAAAAAGTAACAGACTTTATCTACAGATGAATATCTCTCATCTAATGTAGTTACAGAATCATGTAATAGTTTGGGTTGGAAAAGACCTCCATGTTTTCAAAGATTGTTTTACCTGTTCATTTAAATCCTTTTGTAGTGTAGTTTGTGTTCTCTTATGGGAGACCATTTAGCTAAGTAACATGAAACTAAATTTAAAAGTATCTTATTGCTGTTCTCTTCACCCAAATATTACTCTTAAATATTATTTTCATTATGCTAAATAGATTATAAAATGATTCAGTAACTTTAACTGTCATAAGTCTGCTGAAGACACAGTTTGTTTTTTAAATTGTCAAAACAGAAAAGCACATTGTCACTAGTAAAACTAAGGGCGGAGGGGAAACCTGTGGTGTTCAAATAACCACATACTGCTCATCTCAAATTCTTTTTTTAAAGAAGTGGTGTGTTTTGGGGTTGGGATTTTTTGGGGTTTCAGTTTGGTTTTTAAAAACAAAACCTCATCTTATGTAGAGACTCTCTTCTAATTAGGCAAGGAAAAAATCCTCTTTCTCTTCTGACACTGTTATCAGTTGGTACAACTATTTGGTTACCTGAAATTTCTTGGCACCAATTCACAAGATAAGTCATCTTTTCATGACAGCTTAACAATGGTACTATGCTACCAACATGTCTTTATAATTGTCACTGTAAATCTGAATTTGCATTTAGATTTATTGAGTTAACTTAAATTTGTGTATTTGCTTCTCAAATGTCTTAAAGCCAAAAGTACAGGAAACAACAGAAAGCAAAAAATAGTAAATGTCTGAATGGTTTGACCACAGGTATTTCTAGTTCCCTTCCACAAGTCTGTTTAACATTTACTTCACATTTGAATAATTACCCAGTGTTAGCCAATGGCTCCCTACTGTTAATCACAGCATTTAAACAGTGGCTGCTTCTGTAATATAAATAATTGTTGGTTATTCTAGAAGAATCCTAGGTAAAATTTGTCATATTTATTTTCTTAGGATTTTGTGAAAAGTGAGAACAGAAAAAATGCAAAACCTCCTATGACTAATTCTCCTTCTCCAAGCAACAAGAAAATGGTTTGACTTCTTTTTCCTTTCTATTTTTGAAGTTTGGCCTTTTCTGTAAAGGTGGACTTGTGAAAGGAGAGCAGACATATGCAACATTATCTTATCTTGATCTATGTACTTGAATAGGGTTCTAAACATGCTGTCTTCCTAAACTCTATAAATTAACCAAAGAGTGTAAGTCTGTATTTGTCAAGAATGCGTACTAGCTGCAGTGTACAATAATTCAAAGGGAATGATCTTTCATATTGACTATTGAACATACTATTAGTATACATGATGTTATAGGCAATACCTTCAAAGTAAAAGTAAGGTTCATTTCATCTATATGCATGAAAATTATGAAATTTTATTACATTAAATTTTTATTTTAGGTATTCGTAGTAAACTGGGTGGGTTAAGAGGGTGCGTAGTAGATTTGTTTTCCCCACCAGTTTTCTCCTGTTTTGGTTATAACCAGAACAGCTGGTCTAATGAAATTGTCTGCAACTTTGAATCAATTTTTTTTTATTTCTTAATTTTTTAAAGAAACTGTTTTCTATATTACTCATGCCCTTAAACGTATTCTGTGAAAACTTGACTTTTTTTCTTCTGGGTATAAAATAAAGTATTTCTTTGCTGTGGTAGTATAGTGAACAGAGATGTCAGTAGCAAAGCTCAAAATGTCAGCTTGAAAATTAACATTAAGGTAAAATAAAATGGAATTAAACTTTAAGATAAGTCAATTTGCAACTTAATGATCTTGTATTTCTGTACAGATGTCTACTATGCAGCTTAGAAAACCATACCCCTTAAGAAAGCAAGAATCCACTTCAAGTAAAAAGTCTGCTAAAAAGAAAGATGGAACACTACAAAAAATTGGAGATTTCTTCCAAAGTTCTCCTACTATTATTCAGTCTAAAGGTTTGTACAGAATAAATAAGGCTTATTGCATATTCTCTGAGCATTGTAGAATAGCTTTTTTTCCTACTGTGACCTATTAATGAATATACTGTTAAATGATAAGGCTGCTTCATTAAGTTTTTCTTTCCTTTATGAAATAATAGAGTCTGAACTGGGGCCTGCTATATTAAATCTTGCAGAGCAGAAAAAGCTGTCTTGATTGCCTTTGACCACATGGTTATAAAGTTTAGGTTGTGAAAGGTAAACTGGATGGAATAAAAGGATGCAGTGTAGAATATATGCATCTAAATTTATCATAAAAGACATGATAACTGTTAAGCTCAACATGTTGGACTTACTTTGGCTTTGCTTACAGTAAAATAATTTAGGGCACTTTCAGGAACTTGCCCTGCTGCTCTAAAGAAAAAAGTCAAGAGCTGAATCCAGATTCTAAGTCTTACCTTGTTCTATAAGTGATCCTTCCTCACCCACACCCAACCTCCCTACCACTTTGTTTCTGTGGAAACTGTATTAATGCTTTCTTTTTATTTTTATGTACATATGTGGGAGAGAAAGATTAGTTCTACAGAATCTGAAAGCTAGTGTCTTGTGAAAATATTTGGAAGACTTCAATAAGCTGACTATGAAGTGATTAATGGATTTTGTTAAGTTAAAGCATAGCCTTGAGAAGATTAACTGCAGGGACTTTCTACAGAAGAACATATTTTTATTCTTTCCTATATTAAGACATGATTTCTGAGTTACTGTGTTTAAAAAAAAAAATTAAATTAGCAGAGGGCACAAGGAATTGCCTGTATTAAGTTCTAAAAGATGCTACTGTTTGGTTAAAACAAGATTACTCGTTATTCAGTGTGGACAGTTAAGGTTTCTGTACCAACTGGAAAACTTGACTTGCTACAGAGTATGTCTTACCTGCTGGAAGACAGTCTAGATGATGATAGTGGGATTTTTAAAATATTCCAGGCTTGTCAGATTTGGCTCCATGAGGACAACATATTGTTATCAATGTAAGCCAAATTCAGACTAATCAAAATTTCACCCTGAAAATACTTAATGTGGGCAAATGAGATCTACTTGTAACCTTTATTACAGTGTCCTGTATTCTTCCTCTTTTGTATAACTTGCTATTGTTCAGGATTTCTTCTTTCTTTTCTAGCTCATAATATGCATACACTCATCTCTTTATAGAGCTAGTACTACTCTGGTAAAACTATACACATACATAGCAAAAATTGACTCTACCCTGTGCTCCTATCAGCACAGAGAAGTGTTAAGCCTGTAGTTCAGCTTCTGTTGAAGTGTATAATTTCCAGCGAAATCTGAATCCTAACTGATTTTAAAGGACACCTTTATATAGCACATTAAAGCTTTAGCATCTGAAGCTATGGAAAACTTTTTCCAGCTGTAGAAAACTGTGATAGTCAAATACCAGATCTGAATTTTTATATTTTAACTTCAGACAACATCTCTTTAATTTAGTTTTTTTAATAAAGCCTGCTTTATTCGTTAGTTTTGAGGCTTACAAACACAGTAAGATATTGATTTATGATAAAATATTTTCATCTAGCAAAGAAGCTGATTGCAACAATAAGCTCTCCTAATTCTGCAGAACCAGAAAGTGTCAAAGAAAATGAGCTCAAGCCAAAAAGAGCTAAGAGAAAGCTGTATTCAACTGACATTTCTTGCCCTCTAGATATCCCTGCTTCTTCGGTAAGTGATTACAGGTTACTGTTCTGTCCACTGTGATCTGTTTCCGTGATCTTGATTTAAAATAAACTATCAGGGGAACAGAACAAATCTGAAGGTCTAATCAAGTTGCAGAAGAAGTTTGAAATTACTGACTTTTTTTCTTGATTCTACCTAGCCGTTGCTTCTGGCCTCTTCTTCCTACTGTTTTACTTCTCTGTTTTCTGACCTGTCCATAGATTTGGAATAGCAGGATTGAAAAGATGGTGACTAAAGATATAAAAGTCTGCAAGTATAATTAACTTTGCAGGGCAAGTGAGCACCGAAGGTAACTTCCAATTCCATTTATGCCCAGTTGATATTTGGGTTCCTGTAGGATGAGGATACATCTGTGCTTTTCTAAGCACAGTTTAGATAGCCTTCTGTGTGTGCTTAAATTGTGTTGCCCTGTGTAAGCCAGCCTAGAAGGAGTCTTCTAGGCCAGGGCTTGATTTATGACTTCTGAAATCCACGTAAATGGTTTTGACAGTAACTGTAGTTGCCCATACTGAGATATGCTATTGAATTTCCTGTAAATTGTATGAATAGATACAGCAGAAACCAAAATGTTTTTCACAGGAAGGTGAAGAAAATGACAGAAATGCAGAGCAGAAGAAGCTAAGAAGCTTGGAAGTAAAAGGAAAAGTGACAGACCAAATCCCAGGAAAGGTGGAGATAGCTAAAGGAAATTAAGATAAAAATATGTTCTCTGAACACTTCCTGTTTCACAAAATGAGTATTAGAGTTTAGAAGTGAAAGCTTTTTTCAGGTCACATTTTGCTTTGGATTTTGGTATTTGTTCCAGAAAAAACATGTGATTTTGTATGTCCCCAGTACTTGTTGCTTATTCTGATGCACTAAGAGTCTTTCTCTCCAAGAGACTTCTGACTAAAAGATAATAGGCAAACTTCATTCTGAAAACAACTTCTGGGGAAAACCATGTTGTTGATTACATGGGTCTAGAAGTGCATGTCATTTGTCTCTGAAGAAATGCTGAGTAACCCTTAAAATGTAATCTCTTTCAGATCCTTATAGAACAAAAAGAGAAGGAAAGCGATCATCTAATCATCAAGCGACGGCTTCGATCAAAACCAGCTAAATAATCTTGCAACAGCATGTTTGTATTTCCTTGTTAGGTCATATTTCCATTGTATTATTTCAGTTGATTGTATATAGGTGGTAATTGATACTTCATCATGCTCTGAAGTCTGTATATAGATGTATAGAATTGTTCTGATGTTATTCAGTTTTGACTTCATTAAAACTGAAATGCTGTTCAAGACAGCCTGTTTGTTTGTTTTGTTTGGGTATTTTGTGGTTTTTTTGTTTTCTGTTTTTTGGGGTGGGTTTTCTGTTTTTGTTTTTTTGGTTTTTTTAGGAATGGTGTCTTTGGAAGTGTTCATAATTTACCCATTGTGCGGGAAGTACTATGCCTGTGCGGAATGGTATAAGTTGCTTTTTCAGGTGGCCAGAATATGTACCATAACTTACAGCGGAAAAAAATGAATACACATCAAAACTTGTATATCCCTTAAATATTTTGACAAGATTTAAAAAAAAAAAAATCTGTGAAGGGACAAAATTAAGGAATTGGCACTATGTGGAGAATTTTTTTATCATATGTTGTTTAACTGTCTTCTGTTTACTTTTCTAAATTAAGTAGGTTATAAGCATAATATTCTTTGGGAATTACAATATCAATAAATAATTATAATCTTCTAATAGAAGTGGCCCACTGTCAGTAAGTTGACATTTTAGTCTAAACACCCTGTTTTGTTCGACTGGAACAGCTACTTTTTGCACAGTAAGGCTTCAGCTTACAATCAGTGACAAGTAAACATTTAAAATACTTGTGGCTTCATCAGTGTAGTGTTTACATAAGTCACACACAGTGACTGTATTTCATAGGATTTTGCATTGAAGAACCATAGTAGTCAACTTTCAGGAAAAGAAAGGTCACTTTGACAATGACCTGCTCTTGACATGGATGGAGCAAGACAATCCCAATCATTTACTCTAACTTGTTGCTTGTGCAGCTTTTTATTTCTGTTTTCTTGAATTACTGCCAACCATCCAACATTGTTTTGACTTGGACTATTGGATCGTTTTGATTATTACTGCATTTTGGTCTGTTTCACCCATCATATCTAAGATTCTATGATCTCTTTCTACATATAGAGCTCCTTTTCTGTTTTGTACATACAGTGTTTAGAACTATAGGAAGAGTATGTTGTTTACAAGATTGCCTTTTGAGATTTAGTATTGGCCTGACCACAAAAATTTTTCAGAAGTTCTCTATCAATATCCAGTCTGATGTTTCTATTTTTTTTTATTTTCCTATTCCTCCAAGCTATGGTTCATCAGCAACAACCGGCTGGTCTGTAAAGGCACTGACAGCTTGCTCATATAGCCAGATACACGCTACTCATTTTTTGATAATACAGTTGTAACCTCACTGTCTGTCAGAAATAATTCCATGGTTTAAGTTATAATTGGGTTTTTTTGTTTGTTTTTCTTGGATTGCTTCTCTGTATTGTCTATCATTTGATTGAAGGGGAAAAAAATAAATCAGATTGACTCATTGACACAAACATGAGTCTAAAATTGTTTTTCTTGAAAGAAAAAGAGTCTTGAAATACCTGTTGCAGCTTAGCTTTTAATAACAAATGTGACACGTTTAAAATGCGAATCAGCATAAAAAGTCATTTCCTTAGTAATTTTCCTTTAATTTTTACTTGCAGACAACCATGTTGTGAGCTCGTTTAGTGGTAACAAACCCTGATATGGTTTTCTTTACTCCTCTCCAGTAGACTGTCTGAGCATGAAATGTCTCATTGTAAAGATATTGCCTAGTTCCATGCTGTAGATCCTGATTTGTGAGATCAGATTCTCATACTAAGTTGCTTCTCCAGTTTCCTGACTGTAAAATGGAGTTGTACCTTTATACTCTTCCATATCTTGTCCTTAAAGTAAGATTGATGATTTATTCTTTCTAACTTGACAGTGACAAAGTGAGCCTGATGCATAAATCTTTCACCTCTACCATTGCTTCAGCTTTTTATTTCATCTTCTGTTTGTGTGAATGTAAACTCAGATTTCGTTTTTGTTAGCTCCTGCTTGGTATTGCCATTTTCTTTCTTCTTTCTTTCTAATAGAAAAAAGTAAAATCCAGGTATGGTCAAATAATTTTAGGTAAAAATAAATGCAGTGTCAGTTAATACCTCTTCACAGGTAGGACTTTATACTTTGAACACTTTGTCTTTCTCCAGATCTCCTGTCTTCTGCTATCTGTAGTCTAGATATCTGGACAGATCTCTTTCAGGGCTCTAGAAGAACACAGCAGTGAAGATTCTTACCTGATGTAGGTGCAAGTTGCTCATTTTACGGAAGTTTTCTAGCTGGAGGCAGGAAATATGCAAGGTGAAGGTGTTCCTGCCCATGGTAGAAGGATTGGAACTAGCTGATCTTTAAGATCCCTTCAACCCAAACCATCCTGTGATTCTATGATAAAACAGTCTTAAACAGTGGGACAGTACGTGGGATATTTATTCTTTGCCTGAATACTTTGTCTGGTGTTTTCCCATTTTTAGCAGATACCTTCAGTCAGCTGCAATCTTGACCTTTAACTTGTTTTTTCTGAATAGTTTCAGTTAATTTTAGAACCCATCAGCATGTACCTTTTTAGCTGGATTGTTCCTTCCATTGTGTACAACCTTGCACTTGCCTGCAGTGAAATTCATATACCATCATGTTGCCTTGAATGACAGTTTGATTGCTTATCATTAAATCATCAAATGGTCTTACAGCTCTTATTTAACCAAAAAACAATTGCAAGGTAAATGGAGGACTGGAAGAGCACTGAATTACTGGACTGTTGCATGTATGATTTCTTTATTGATCCAAAAGTGTGGAAAGTAATGGAAATATCTTCAGCTATTTGATGTATCTGAAATTGCTGAGTGATAGTGTTTGTTCTCCTTATCAAATATAAAATTTCATAGTTTCAAATAAAATGTGCTTCTTCCTGATTTCATGGTTAACCAAGTGACAAAATTACTTCAATTACTCCGGTAAATTCATAGAGTCATAGATTGGTTTGAGTTGGAAAGGACCTTAAGATCATCTAGTTCCAACCCCACTGCCATGAGCAGGGACACCACACACTGAACTATGTCACACAAGGCTCTGTCCAACCTGGCCTTGAACACCTCCAGGGTTGGAGCATTCACAACTTCCTTGGGCAACCCACTCCAGTGCCTCACCACCCTCACTGTGAAGAACTTCTTCCTTATGTCTAAGCTAAACTTCCCCTGTTTAAGGTTGAAGCCATTACCCCTTGTCCTGTCACTACAGTCCCTAATGAAGAGTCCCTCCTCAACATCCTTATAGGCCCCCTTCAGATACTGGAAGGCTGCTCTGAGGTCTCCACACAGTCTTCTCTTCTCCAGGCTGAACAGCCCCAACTTTCTCAGCCTGTCTTCATAACTGAGGTGCTGCAGCCCTCTTATCATCCTCGTGGCCCTCCTCTGGACTTGCTCCAACAGCTCCATGTCCTTTTTATGTTGAGGACACCAGAACTGTACACAATACTCCAAGTGAGGTCTCACAAGAGCAGAGTAGAGGGACAGGATCACCTCCTTGGACCTGCTGGTCACGCTTCTTTTGATGCAACCCAGGATATGGTTGGTTTCTGGGCTGCAAGCGCACACTGAAGCCGGCTCTTGTCAAGCTTCTCATCAACCCACACCCCCAAGTCCTTCTCTGCAGGACTGCTTTGAATCTTCTCTGCCCAATCTGTCGCAATTTAGTTATATGTGCAACTAACTAGGAAGTAGAATATCACAACATAGTCAAGCCACTGACACTTAGGAATGCTACTGTACTTAAGCTCTATTGCCAATTTTTCTAAGCTCTTGTATTTACTAAAATTTCATCAGTGTTGTTGAGCTGTCTAAAGGCTATATGAAAACTTTTTCCTGGAAGTTATTTGAATGAGTGTCTTCATTATAATCTGAGCACAAGCATAGCTACATGCACAAAACAACCTGTTCTATTTTTTGCCCTTAAATTAGCCTTTGCATTTGGAAGGCTGAGTCATTAGTAGGTGCAGGCTTGCTTATCAAACTCCATGGTTACAAATTTTTAATACAGAAATAAAACATGTTCCCTTTTGTTTTGATCAAAGGACTGATTTCTGTACTTCCTACAATTCTTGATGTCTGGGCCTATATACTGGTAGCCTAGAGAATGGATCATACTTCATGTACCTCCTTTCTCCATGCCAGGATTCCCAGTTATTTCCTGAGCAGAAAAGGAATGAAAAAAAAATAATCCCAGAAAGGAGCACGTTCACTTTCAGTTCTTTGGAAGTAATGGGAATTTTTTTTCTTTTTTTTTTTTTTTTTTCCTATCCCAACTTTTCCAATGGTTAATCCTCATCTTGAAGAGGCTCTTCCTCCCTCAACTTCAGGTCATTTGGGGTGAACACTTTCGTTTGTCACCCTCGTGGCACTCCAATTACAGACCTAATGAAGGCTTCTGGAAGGAAATATGAGACTGTTGCTTCAATAGGTCAAGCTTTTCTCTTTGGCAAAAGAAAGCAAGGAAGAAGAGTGGCACTGTTTGATCAACTCAGGAGTTGAAGTGAGCAAAGGGAGCAGAATACTTGGGGGTGATTTTTCCATAAATGATGCAAGTACTTGAACGTTTTTGGAACTTGATTAGTGCTGTGAGAGAAGAAAAACAAAAGTACTTCAATGAAACAAGCTCACTTTGGTCTCTACAAAGCCAGTTAACGCGTGTTGCTATCGACAGCAGCAAAACTCCCAGAAGGTGGCGCTGGGACTCCGCCCGAGATTGCGAGTCTCGCCACTGAGAACTTCAGCTGCTGGGCTCAAGACTTTGTTTTAAACCAATCCACTTTTCATCCCATTTAGCCAAGCTTCATAAAAAGTTCAGAACGGAACATTGCTGGACTATTCTCTTGGCAAAGTCCTAGTCCTCCAGACCGTTTTTCCTGCTACAATGATGCTACCCTTGCATAGGAGCAATCAGCATATAGTCCTGTCACAGATGATTTTGTTTCTAAGGTCAGGATTCTGAG